CCCCATCCAGGAGGCCTCGACCTTCCGCCTGCCCGCCCGCCCCGCCGGCCCCTGCCTCCAGCCTGCGCGGTCGTCGCCGTCTGCCTGCCCTTCGCCGGGCAGCACCGCCTGCCCGGGGAGCGTGGAGCAGCCCAGAAAACCCGTCTGGAGCTTCGCCAGATCGAGTCATGATGTTTTCGGACGATCCCGTCAGTCCCTGGCGGCTTTCCATGCTCGAGGTGGTTTCCAGCGGCTGCGCCTCGCAGGGAGCGCTCCCGGGGTGCTGGACTCGTCCCGAGGGGCCACTGGTGACCAGAGTTGACCCCCGAACGCCGACTGACCCTTCGCCAGAGCGGCCTTTGAACGATGAGAAGGGAGGAAGAAGGATAGGATGAGGGTGATAATGGTGCTGGTAGGAAAGGAGGGGGCTTTGGACTTGGACCAGGCGTTGCGGGTGCATGCCCTCAGATGCGCGCATGCAGCGCCAGGCCGAGCTGCGCGCCCGAAGCTCACAGTGAGGTGGCCGCGACCGTGCAACGGACAGCACCCTGATATGACCAGCTGAGGGCTGCAGTGCCTGGCGGCCAGGAGGAGAGGGGATGAAGGAGGGCAGACGGGGCAGCTGGGAGGGAGGGGGAGGGAGGGATGATGAAGAGGAGGAGGTGGAGATTGGCGGTGCTGGGAGGAGGCGAGGAGGAGGAGGAGGAGGTGCAGGAGGAGGAGGAGGGCGACAAGGTCGGGCGCGTGGTCGCACCAAACGAGCCGCGATCTCTGGATGCTACACAGACTTGGCCAGCCAGACTGTCAAATATTGCCAAGCCTGTGCTTACAGCTGGCACGAGGATGAAGAAAGAACCCAGCTGAGGACGGTTACGTACCATTGTGCTCTTCCTGGGCTTCCCGTTTTGGTTCACTTTTCATTGAGGGTATCTCCATGGGGCCTCGGGCCTTCAGCGATGGGGCTGCTCGTGTTCTTGACCCGCGTTCCAGTGGACACGTTTCGACTACACGACAAAGTCGGACCTCGCCGGGTGCGGGCACTCTGGCGGATCCATGCGCAGCGCAGGCTACGGATGGGGAGAGAACCACGCAACGCATCGGTCTTCTTTTCCTCTCCTCTCCTCCTCTCTCCTCCCTCTCCTCTCTTCTCCTCTCCTCCTCTTGTTCCCCTCCCTACTCCTCCACTGGCTGAAGCCCAGCCCGCCACAGTGCCTGGAGGCTCCGGCGCCGATCCCGTAAATCCGCGCGGACCTCCGACACGTGACGCTTGTGCATGTTTTTCTTTGTCTATCGAGGACGCGGGCGGCGCATCGCCGGCCTTTTCCTGGGAGTTTGGCGAAGTGACTCGAAGAAGGAAAGCAAGCAGACATGAACATAAGCTCTTGGCGCTCCGCGCGGATTTCTCGGATCCGCGCCTGGGCCCCCCCCCAGCGGCGCCTCGGGCGCCGCCCTCGGCGCGCTGCGTTCGCCAGGGCGGGGGGGTCCTGCGCGAATCCAGGAGATTCGCGCGGAGCGCCAACCGTTTTCCTCCTCCTCCTCCTCCTCCTCCTCCTCCTCCTCCTCCTCCCCCGCCTCCTCCCCCGCCTCCTTTCCCCACATGTTTCGTCGTGGGGTTCTGGTCTTCTTCCCTGCCGCGCCGCACCCGCGTCTCACACACCTCCCGCCTCCTCACCCACACACTCGCACACAGCCGCACGCATGCACACATTTCGCACATACAAGACGCATGTTCACTGCATCATACACCCAAGACGTCTGCACGACATACTGGGCAACACGTGAGATATGTCCCGATATGGCCGCACACGCATCATACACATACACACGGCAAGCCATGCGGCAGGCGAGCAGGCGTGGCACTTCCTCGACACCATAGGGGGTGCGCAGAGGGTGGTCCCTCAGCGGGGCCTCTATCCCTGACACGCTCGCAGATCGTGGCAGGCGCGGCACTTTCTCGACACCGCTGGGTGGGCGCAAAGGTTGGTCCCTCAGCGGGGCCTCTATCCGTGACACGCTCGCAGGGCGTGGCAGGCGTGGCACTTCCTCGACACCATAGGGGGTGCGCAGGGGGTGGTCTCTCTCCGCGGCCGCTATGCACGACAGTCGTCCAGGCACAGCAGGCGTGGCACTTTCTCGACACCACAGGGGGTGCGCAGGGGGTGGCCCCTGAGCGCGGCCTCTATCCGTGACACGCTCGCAGGGCGTGGCAGGCGCGGCACTTTCTCGACACCACAGGGGGTGCGCAGAGGGTGGTCCCTCAGCGCGGCCTCTATCCGTGACACGCTCGCAGGGCGTGGCAGGCGCGGCACTTTCTCGACACCACTGGGGGGGCGCAGAGGGTGGTCCCTCAGCGGGGCCTCTATCCGTGACACGCTCGCAGGGCGTGGCAGGCGCGGCACATTCTCGACATCACATGGGGGTGCGCAGAGGGTGGTCCCTCAGTGCGGCCTCTATCCGTGACACGCTCGCAGAGCGTGGCAGGCGCGGCACTTTCTCGACACCACTGGGGGGGCGCAGAGGGTGGTCCCTCAGCGGGGCCTCTATCCGTGACACGCTCGCAGGGCGTGGCAGGCGCGGCACATTCTCGACACCACATGGGGGTGCGCAGAGGGTGGTCCCTCAGTGCGGCCTCTATCCGTGACACGCTCGCAGATCGTGTCAGGAGTGGCACTTTCTCGACACCACATGGGGGTGCGCAGAGGGTGGTCTCTCAGCGCGGCCTCTATCCGTGACACGCTCGCAGGGCGTGGCAGGCGTGGCACTTTCTCGACGCCACAGGGGGTGCGCAGAGGGTGGTGTCCCTCAGCGCGGCCTCTATCCGTGACACGCTCGCAGATCGTGGCAGGAGTGGCACTTTCTCGACACCACAGGGGGTGCGCAGAGGGTGGTGGTCCCTCAGCGCGGCCTCTATCCGTGACACGCTCGCAGATCGTGGCAGGAGTGGCACTTGCTCGACACCACAGGGGGTGCGCAGAGGGTGGTCCCTCAGCGCGGCCTCTATCCGTGACACGCTCGCAGATCTTGGCAGGAGTGGCACTTTCTCGACACCACAGGGGGTGCGCAGAGGGTGGTCCCTCAGCGCGGCCTCTATCCGTGACACGCTCGCAGATCGTGTCAGGAGTGGCACTTTCTCGGCACCACAGGAGGTGCGCAGAGGGTGGTCTCTCAGCGCGGCCGCTATGCACGACGGTCGTCCAGGGCATAGCAGGCGCGGCATTTTCTCGACACCATAGAGGCTGCGCAGGGGGTGGTCCCTCACCGCGGCCGCGACGCACGACGGTCGTCCAGGGCATAGCAGGCATGGCACTTTCTCGACACCATCGAGGGTGCGCAGGGGGTGGTCCCTCACCGCGGCCGCTGGCTGGCTCGAATCTGTCCTCGACGGAGGATAGAAAGCTAGGAAGAGGGAGGAGGTTCAAGCAATATGGCGTTGGATGACACATAGGGAAACATTCGCGACGAGGGCTGAGAACGCAGAATTGCGCATATATTATAAACTTAAGCAAACACACGAGATTTAAGTTAAGTATGTGGGGTTCCTCGGTAGCGTAATTTCTTCTTCTTCTAGTGGCGCGCAGCATCGAGAGTCGTGAAACAGCGCGCATATGCCAGCTGTCCTTGCTAGGGATTGCCTAAATGCTTCTTTGCAGTATCTCGTGGCCTTCGGTCCATCCCGCCACCCTGCCTAGGTTGTAGGTCAGAGGCCTCTGGGATGCCTGTGGGGATCTCTTCCGGAAGCCTCTTGGATCCTCTGGGGGCCTTTTGGGGGCCTCCCGTGGCTTGACTTGTGCCTCTTGGGGGCCTCCTGGGGCTTCTGGGGGGCCCCTTGGGGGGCCTGACGGCGGTCTCGGGTGTGACCTTGGGGCGGAGAGCGCGAAATGTCGCTTCGAGTTCCCCCTCTTGGGGCCCTCTTGGACCGTTTCGGGGGCCTCTTGGGCCGTATCCGCCCTTCCCAGGCGGCTTGGTGGCTCTCTTGGGGGCCTCTTGGGTTGTCGGGGCGATCTTGGAGGTTTCTCGTGCCGTTTTGGAGCGTCAGAAGCTCGAAGGGGCGAGAACGCCTAATTCCCTCAACGATTGAAGGAAAATCAACGGTTTTGGCCGCTCGGGGCCCTTGCGAGAGTCCTCTTGGAGGCCTCTGGGACCGTCTTGAAAGCCTCTTGGGTCGTCTTGAGACCGTGTTGGACAATGTTCGGGCCTACGTGGACCGGACCTTCGCTCTTTCGGACCGTCTTGGGCTTTCTCAAGTCTGTCGCTCACCGTCTTGCGGCCCTCGTGGGTCGTCTCGGGGCCTTCCCGGGCCGTTGCACACGTTGTCCCAATAGGGGGAATCCGCGAAGGACCGCCGGCAGAGTGGGGCTCCCTCGGAAGAGCTTTCAGGAAGGTTTCGACCAGCCCTTGGCGAATTGTGCCAAAGGCTGTGCAACAACAAAAACTCTGGCGGAGAGGTCTCGCACGGCCCAGCCCGCAGGCGTGAGCGGCCAGATCTGCAGGGCTTTCACCCTCTGCGGCCAGCCCCGTCCTCAGACTGTTTGCATGGCCACGGCTGGTCGGTAGGGTCGAACCGAGGTATAAGATCGATCGGGGGTGGACAGAACCCACAACAGTGACACGTCGATTAGTGAATTGTCCGTTTTCGGTTTTCGAGAGGGCGCCGTGGCCGTTATTTTCCAGGCTTGCGCCCGCCAGGTTTGGGCCCGAAGTCGTTTTCACTAAACCACGTTTTACTAAAGGAAGGTCTGTCCATCCCCGAATCGAGGTCGTTTAGGAGAGGGTACCCTCATGTCTTTCGTGTTTGTTGGATGTTCTTGTGCATCCTGGGGGAGGGCACGCTCGAATGTTCATCAGTTTGGCTGGTGGAGGGTCTTATGGTTCTTGAAGGATGTTGGTCTGTCCTAGATACGACTGTAGCTGGCCCCTACGGCAGCGCAAAGAGTGGGGCCGTGCGAGGATTTTCCCGTGGGTCGTTGCCGCCCTCGCTGATGCTGGCTGCCCCTGGGTCGTTTTGGGGCCAAATACTTGCTCCCGACTGTTGGCCGAACGACCGCGGTGTGTTCTAGATGCGTAAGATCGGGGCGAACGAAGGGGGAGGAGGAGGAGGAGGAGGAGGAGGAGGAGGAGGAGGAGGAGGAGGAATATGATGAACAGAGCCGGGGGTCCTGCGCTGGCTGCTGCACCTTCTCCTGCTTCTGCCCCTCCTGCTCATCCTTGTCCTCCTGATGTGTCTCCCCAGTGATACGTCAGCAGCGTGCACACACGTTTTCGGAGGCCCGCTCGGATTCTGTTGGATCGGCACTGTGCCCAGGCTTATTTTTTTGCTTGGACGCTATCTGTTTTCGGAGAGGGCTCGGGAAGCTTCGCAGTGGCCCGGAGACCTCCCAAGCCTTCTGAGAGAGCCCGCCTCCTCTGACCTCCCCCTCGGCTCGCCGCCGATCACCACATGGAATCAAATTCTCGACGCTTCGCGTATCCCCTCTTCTCCGTGTGTCCCTCGCCAGGTTGTGTGCATGTGTACTTCTGCACTGCGGCACACCATATTTCTGGTTTCCTGCGTGCAGGCGCATCCCTCAGCAGTTGTTCCGAGGTTGCCCCAGTTGTCTATGACCTCTGGCTCACTCTGTCAGCCGTCGGGTGCGTTTTCTGAAGCTGCGACGGTTCGCTGGCGCTGTCAGAAATTCTCCTCCTTGCTGAACGACGTCAGCTACGCTTTCGGTCCGCTCATACCCAACAGACACCCTGGGCTGACACCTTCTTGCACGGAGACTGGTTCGCACCACCTTGCGATTGTCGGTCCGTCACAACCCATGACTGGGAATGTGCGGCGCGCCATTTTGGCCGCGTCCGCCTTGCTTCCTGGGTGACTGACCCTTCAGACTCCCTGGGTTGCAGCTTGCGCGACCGCCTGGCCTCTCAGACGCCCTGGGTTGCTGTTTGCACCGCCGCCTGATCCGCGGCCCCCGCGCGCGCCCGGGTAATTCGTCACGGCCGCAGCCCGACCGTGACCCCTCGCCGCCGGCGCTTCCGCCTGCGGCTGTACCAAAAAAATCCCCTCTTCTCTCTCTTTCGTACCTCGACCGACGTGTCGTTGGCCACGACCGCCCTGGTGCCCACGCAGTCGTCTGAGGTACGGTATCACGTTTTCTCTCTCGGAGTTGTCCCTGGTCGCCGTTGACTTTCCGACGTTTGGCGCCTCCGACAGACTTGCAGCTGTGCGTGCTGGCAGTCCCCCTCAGTCTCAGTCCCGACAGCCCACCATCTGAGGCCTCGGCCGCACTTAGTTGTCGCCTCGCGCGTCGTTCTGTTTCTTTTTCCCGCGTTTCCTTTGCCTAATTAGTCTCTGCGTAGCCCGCTTTGACCTGACACGCCGCCCGCGCGCTCGCCCGCGGCCGTTGACTAAAAAGTATCCCGTCTTCTCCCTCGCTTTGCCAGGTTTATCCCACGCGGCTGGGGTTGCCGCCAACCCCTCTGTCTGATGGTCCTCTGACAGCCCGAATTCATTCCAAGTTTCACACTGGGAACGGGCGGCCACGTGACCGGAAGGGTTCTGTGAGGTTTCGCTGCGAATTCCATGCAAGGATCACACTGGGAATGGGCGGTCAGGTGGCCCCTGGCCTGCTCTTGTCTGGTGTCGGCCTCCACTGGTGACTGTTTGGGTGCAGCGGGGTCTCGCTACGCAGCCGTCCTCTTCGGTGCGTGGACTTCGGCATGTGTGGCTCTCTGCGCCCGTCGGCTGCTTTCTCCTACATGGTCTTCGCTTTCGAGATGTGCCACTGGTGTACAAACAAAATGTACTGCCGTTTGCAGTCCTGTCTGGGACGAGGTTGGCCCTCTTCACTCGTGCGCTAAAACAATGCTGTTGTGTCGCCTACGGCACGGGCGTCGTCCGGGTGTGCGTGTTGGTCCTGCTCGTAGTTGTCGGGCCTTGAGCCGACTCACCCCGAGTGATCGACCTCTGCGTGTTCATTGTCGCGCCGCCGCGCAAATTTGCTGCGCCGACTTGATGGTCGCCACCGGGGTCTCCACGCCACCGAGTTGGGAGTTTTTCTGGTTTTTCTTCTTCTGAGTGGCTGCCCGCGCGCTCGCTTCGCTTGCCTCTCTTCTTTTGCTGCCTAGTCGCGGCCCGGCTTGTGTTCGAACGGCTTTCGACTTGCTTCGCGATCCCGCAGACCAATCAATACCCCCGCTAGTTGGACTTCCTTGGCTACTCCGGCTCCGCCGCCTGAGCGACTGCGCAGCGCGCTCTGGTCGCTCTGGCTCCCTCTTAGGCCGTAATTTAGAGTTTGGCGCGGCTGCCTTCTCTCTGACGGCGCGCGGTCGGACCGCGGCGCTCGCGAACGAAAAAATATCCCCGCTAGCCTTTTGGCCCTTCGCGCCCTGGCCAACGTCTTCGGTGAGTCCCTGCAGCCAGGCTCTGCCGAGGTGGCACCCTCACCCTGCCTTGTTCTCCCAGTTCCCCCCGCCGCCCCTGCCTCGTGCTTGTGGTCGCTGGGAACACCTCCGGCCCTGGTCGCTAGGCTGTTTTTTTTTGTTCCTTTTTTTTCAGTCTCTCTCTTTTTTTTTTTTTTTTTTTTTCTCTCTCTCTCTCTCTCTCTCTCTCCGCGGCCATTCTGGCCGCCCTGAGGATGGCCTGCTTGAACCTTACATTCGCTGTGCCCCTGGGCTCTTGGGCCTGCGACTCGCCCGTGGTCGCCGCTCCCGCCCACTCGGGGTCGGCGGACGCTCGGTCCTCCCCCACGACAGTTTCAGGGTCGACCTGCTCCCCTGGCTTGGCGCCGCCGCTTCCCGCTTTGGGTGTGGCCTTTCTATGTCTCGTTGTCTTCGCCGCTGGTGTGGTGCCCTGGCGTCGCTCCTGCTCTCCCGCCGTGGTCGCTTCCGCTGTCACGCTCCCACTCTTGCACGCCCGTTCGTCGTCCTCGTGTACGTGGACTGCTTGAATTACGCTTCCTCCCTGGCGATCCGGACTTTCTCCGTTGAGCGCCTGCATGCCCGTCCATCGTTCTCCTCGACTACGCCGCGGTGGTCTTCGAGTGCGCCGGCCTCCCGCTCGTCGCCATTTTGGCGTTGCACGTGGACCTGGTGCCCTTCCTGGTCATCCTCGCCTTCTGAGCCGCAGCGTAGTTCGCTTCTGCGCGCTTGGGGCTTACTTTAGATAGTGGCCCTGCTGCTTTGCTTTGACGTCGCCTGGCACACTTGCGCGCTCGCGAACAAAAAGTATCCCCGCCAGCCCATCCAGAGACGATGCCCAAGCGGGTTGCCTCTCAGAGTCTCCTCGGCCCCCCCCAGTGGCGACGCGCGCGCCGAGAAATCTTCTAGTTTATGCATCGTGGCGGGCGCTTTCTGGCCACGCCGCTCGCGAAACGATGTGCCGCAACAGGGGTCATTCTATTATATTTTCGGGTCGGACGCGCGCCCCCAAAGCGGACATGCAATGCTAGTATGTCTCTGCGCGTCCCCAATCAGATTCCCCGCCGTTTTCGGAATAATCCCCAGCGATTGTTGGTGGGGCGGGTGTCCTCGCGTTCCGCCCTTTCTGGCTTCCAGCCCTCGCCTGCTCATGGGCCCTGGGCGCCCAGCCAGTGGAGGCCTTGGGCGAGAACGAGGAGCTCCACCTGCGGATCAGCTTGCTGGAGGCTGCCCTGCCCTCTGTTCTCCGGGTCCTTCTCCGAGGCGGGGGAGGAGGGCGAGGAGGAGGAGGACGACGATAAGGATGATGATGCTGATGATGATGGTGATGATGATGATGATGATGATGATGCTGATGATGATGATGATGATGCTGATGATGATGATGATGACGATGACGATGATGATGATGATGATGATGATGGTGATGGTGATGGTGGTGATGATGATGATGATGATGATGATGGTGATGATAGTGATGATGATGAGGAGGAGGAGGATGAGGAGGAGGAGGAGGAGGAGGAGGATGAGGAGGAGGAGGAGGAAGAGGAGGAGGCTAGGAGGAGGAGGAGGAGGAGGAGGAGGAGGAGGAGGAGGAGGAGGAGGAGGAGGAGGAGGAGGAGGAGGAGGAGGAGGAGGAGGATGAATATAAACACACACGCGCATACAGGTACTATGAGTAATAACCCCGATGCGCGTCATACGACGAATACAATATTACTATCGTACTGCTATTAATGATAATACGAATCGTAGTGTTAAGCAAAAAGTGCGCATACGAATGAGAGGAGTTTGATTAATAATATTAATCAGGTTTTCGATCGCTTCGCTCACTCCGCCGGCCCATATTGTAGCATCGCTGGCACTTGCTTGCGTGCTTGGGGGGCATTGGGGGGGCCTCTTGGGGCTGCTTGGGGGCCTCTCGGGGGCCTCCTGCCAGCCTCGTGGGGGCATCTTAAGGCCTCTTGGGGCCTCTTGGGAGCCTTTCGGGGGCCTCTTGGGCGCTCCTGGGGGCCTCTCCGGGCCGAGGGCTCGAACTATCCGTGCGGGTCTCCGTCTGCGCCCCCTCTTGGAGCCGTCTTGGGGGCCTTCTTGGGGCGTCTTGGAGGCCTCTTGGGTCGTCTTGGGGCCCTCTGGGGCGGTTTTGGGACTTCTCGGGGGCTTCTTGGGCCGTCTCGGGCCATCTTGGGGGCCTCTTGGGTTGCTTTGGACGTTGTGAAAGCTCAAGTGGCGAATCTGCTGAAAAAATACGTTTTGCGAAAGGAATGGGACACATTGTGCCTCGTGGGGCCTTCTTGGGGCGCCTCTTGGGGGCCTGTTGGGGCGTCTGGGAACAATTTTGGGCGTCTTGAAACGAGCGTGTGGCATCTTGGAGCACCTTTGAACCATCTTGGGGGGCTCTTGGCGGCCTCGCGGCCCTTCTTGGGGCTCTGGAGGGCCTCGAGGGCGGCGACCAGGAAGAAAGCCATCTCTGAGTCGGACTGCCCCCTGCCCGGGACCTTGCCGGGGTATTTTTCATCCAGGGCCCCCCAGGGGCCGCCCTGCGTGTGCGAATTCGAAATATTGCTAACCAGTTACCGGAGATCTTAGCACGCCTCTGGCCCGCTGGGCCAGCGAATTA